CCGGAGCACCCGGAGGAAACCTACGCCAACACGGGGAGAACATGCAAACTCCACACAGAAACACCAGCTGACCCGGCTGGGATGTTTAGTATATTATTACAGCTCAGTCTCTCACCTCCTCCTGCTGGTGTCTCTCGCCCCGCTGCAGGCCTCCTGTGAAAACGTCTGTGATACCTATAATGCATATACTATTATTGCGATAAAAACTTTGCAAGATATTGTACAACCCTGATAGATAGATAGATAGATAGATAGATAGATAGATAGATAGATAGATAGATAGATAGATAGATAGATAGATAGATAGATAGATAGATAGATAGATAGATAGATAGATAGAATATTTAAAGTGGAATTTATCAAGGAATCATAAAAAAGTGTAGCAGATCCCAATCTGTACATAACCAATAATCACACCGGAAACAGCAGGACAGCTTTGCGTCATGTATTTATTGGTCCCTGAAACACATGTGGGACACTCAATAAGAAACTCTCCACGCTTTCCTCTCCTTTCACACACACAATGCAAACACAATTGCAGGAGAAACTTTTACACGTCTTTCCCCGTCAGCGGCTGGACTCCGACTGAGGCTGACTGTATAACACTGTACAATAATACTCATGAAAAATATGTATTTGTTTAAATGAAATAAAAATAAAGTGAAAATAAGTGGTGTTGCTCTTTACAATTGTACTCGAAGTGCAAAATCAAATTTATATTCCCAAAAAAACAGCAATTAATGTTCTCAAACAATTAGGCTTATTCACCACGCAACACACAATTACATACAAGCAGAATTTAGATTCAGATAGTCAATTATACATTTTTTGAGAACAAGCAAAATGCTAAAACATCATAAAAAGATTCACACATAACAGTTTTACATGAAACATACCTGAAACACATGTGGGACACTCAATAAGAAACTCTCCACGCTTTCCTCTCCTTTCACACACACTGTGTACAATATTAAACTCGCATAAATCTCAGGTTTATCTCAATATTATAAACTTACTGAATAAAAACAATCCTAAACATATTTTATGCAACATTATATGAACTTCAATTGAACAGACTATATTAACATACCAATGCAAACACAATTGCAGGAGAAACTTTTACACGTCTTTCCCCGTCAGCGGCTGGACTCCGACTGAGGCTGACGCAACTCTCCCGCGCTCTCCGAGAGCAAAGCGTGCAACACTAATTGCGGTCCCACTTAAACAAGTGTCGAAATAAGGTTCCAACGCCCGGTAGGCATATAATACATAAATGAATAGTTTTTTTTAGTTTTGGGAAGTTCATTCCCGAATATTATCAAAAAAATAAACATTCCTCTTCCTTACTGGCTACAGCAGCAAACTATAAAAGCAACACTTCACGCTTGTTTTGCCAACACAACGTGGCGTCTCTGTGGTGTAAACACTGTGACACTAATGAATATTAATGAAGTTGCACAATAGAGCGCGCTGATTGGTTTGAACCAAGCCTTACTCATGCATTACAGTTTTTCTTGTTTGCTTTGATGCAGCCGTCAACTGAAACTCCACATTTTCAGAACAGTTAACACACAGGCCTAAACAGCGGCACTCATGGTCAAAATGAAACATTATGCTTGCAAAATGCACATACCGTGTCAAAACATTAAAAATATGCAACAAAAGCTAGTTTTACCTTCAAACAACACAACTTGCAAACAAGTATATGAGCTCTTTCAATTATTCATTAGACAATGGTCAACAAAAAACAAAATACAGAACTCAGTGTGAATTCTATTTGGGCTGTCAAATTGGCCTTTTTGCAAAGAATTGGATCAAGAATAAGAAATGCTTTGATTAAACTTATATTGAATTCATGACATTTTTCAAACTGTGGCTGAAAACTAAAATACCGTAAAAAATAAAAAAATAAAAAGAAAATTTAAAAAAGAAAAAAGTAGCAGAAAGAAGCAGAAAAAAGAAAAAAAACTAATAAAATATTGTAAATATTAGAGAAAACACATGTAAACCAATATACAGTCAAATATATAGGGAGTATAGGACATAGCCACTATTGACCTCCTCCATCCATGCTGGCACAGAACAACACAGACCTTCTACCATTTTAATGTTTGCAGACTGATTGCTAAGTGAAGATTTGTGTGAAGTAGTGTCAAACCGGTGCTTCATTGAATTCATACTGATCTAGGTGGTTTCTAATGGTTAGGAATGGATGGTTTCAGTTTGGTTACCAAAACTAAAACAATGAAGTTTGGACTGCTTGAATGACATCTGTGTTAACTGTTTGGAAAAATGGTGGGGAAAATGTGTCAACCCAATGAGAAAGAGTTTACACATTTGCAAGACCGGTCTTCTGCTCTGCTGGGATAGTGATAATAAAAATGAAGTGGAACTTAGTTTCTTTAACCAGGTCAAAGCAAACAAGAAAAACTGTAATGCAGCACACTGTAAGACGTAATAAGTCACACTCTGGCACAGACGCCCAGTCTGCACGCTGGAATACAACGCTATTATGTCATGACCTTGACGCAGCTTCAAAAATTCGTTTCAAACAGGAAGTACGAATTTGCTTGAAATAACGCAAAAACAACCAATTTACACTTTTTAGTGAAATATAGGTGTCCTAATAGTGTTTTTAGCAGTGTGGGACACATATACGACTGTCAACAGCTCAAAAAATGTGTTTTGGTGTTTCGTGACCCTTTAATGAAACTGTTGTTCATTCGAACTCACCATGACAAAGGTCAGCATCTGCTGTAGTTGGGCTCTTAAACTTCTTATTTTAACACTAGCTTTTTAGTTTGGTTGCTATAGTTAATTGTGTTGATTGCATTATTTATATAGCATGAGAGCCAAATGAAAACATATGAAAAGCTCTGATGAGATTGACTGTGATGACAAAGTCACCTTCACATACTCATTGCACGTTTTGTAAGTTATGTCTGAAAAATTAATAATATAGGTAAACAAAATCACAGGAGCTTTAGCATTCAATAACTGTTTTACAGGTCTAAGTTTTTTGAGTGTTGTAAAAAGGAATGGCAACAATACAAAGTGCTAAATGCTTTACTGCTACAACTTATCTTTTAAAAAATGTGTTGTAACCAAAATTGAAATGGGTGTTTATTTAAAAAAATTAAATAAAAATCAGGAGCAACACATTAAAATAATCTGCTGTTTTATTGTCCGCAATGAAATACAAGTCAAAGTACATTAAGAAATCCCTACATTGCTGTTTTATCTGAGTTTTTCGTGCTTTATTCTTGTGGTTGTGGATTAGTTATCTTTTGGTATCTTGTTAGTGTTAGCGTTTAGTTCATATTAGTTATATCTGTATCATTTAGTGAGGTTATGAACACATTGACTAATGCAAGAGAGGTCTGAGTTCCAGGATGTGCGAGTGTTATTTTTGACCTCTTGATGAGGAATTTTGGGAGGTCTGCTGCTTCTGGGAAAGCATCTGAAATGTGCTTTTAACTATGGAGTTTGTTTGTTGTTATACACAGTACGGTTCTGCATGGCTCGGCCCACTTCAGTTTTCCTGTACTCTTTTGCAATTCCACTGCAGTTTAGTCCTGCTTAAAGTGAGTGGCATTATCAGTTGCGCTGCTTCTACTGCGGTGATGTCCTGAAAAACTTCTTAGTTCTGACAGAGGGACAGATCTAATCTTTTTCCAGCTCGGACTGCATATGATTGGCTTTTGTCTTTCACTCGGTCAACGACTGACTACATTTACATGGACATCAGTAATCAAACTATTTGCTTTAATTTAGAGAATAATAAGACTAAGGTGTTTACATGAGTTGCTTTTTGAATGTTCGTTCATGAACCTGTTATTCTTATTACAGCTCATAGATTGATTAATGTCATTTCGTCACCACGCTATCCACATTTCCTCTGGAGTTTCTTGTAATTTCGACTGTTTCATTTGTAAATTTGGGACTTAACTGCAGTTTGACACTTTCACTTTCATTTAGGAACATTTTGTTCATGCCCCTGCCAACTGAGGTGTTGAATGCGAGCAGCGCTGGATTAACCAATAGGCCTTATGGGCACAGGTCCAGGGGCCCGTGTGTACTTGGGGATCCTGGGAGGAAAAAAAAAAAAAAAGGAAATTTCGGAGTGTTTTTTTTTTTTTTGTTTTTTTAGGCTAATTGCAAAAAGAGCAACTAGTTGGAATAAGCTGTTCACAGGTTACGCCAATCAATGCCTGATTGACAGAGACAACATGAGTAAAGAGCACAGCAGATTACAGCGTGAGTGGCGTACCTCGTACAGTGCACAGTATCATCTTTTGACTCGATCTTCAACCTGGTTCGAGTCCACCATCTGCTGAACTCGTGCTACTTTTTGTCTCTTTAATGCATGTCAGATTGGAAATATATTTAGTTTTAACAGGAAGGAAACATTTTTAAAAATAATGCAAATGTGATATAAAATCACAAGTGCCTTGTGGGTAGGCTATTTAATAGGGATATAACAATATTGCAAATACCGTCAGACCGCAATTGTAATTTTTTTCAATATTAGCGTAGGCGAATGACTCAATAAAACTATATTTCTGAAAAAAGTTTGCTCAGGCGAATGAAGCAAACGGGAGGTAGCGAGAACTACAATTACCATCAGCCCAGGCGTGGCCATCATCCTTTGCGGTCTGTTGTCACTACAGATCCAGTAATGCGGAAATGGAGTGTGCTGCTAGTAGCGGGGATGATCGAAATGATCGAACCTAAAGCGGGTTTTAAATCAGATGTGTGGAAGCATTTCGGTTTCTTTCTAAAAAGATACGAGAAAGGAGAAAAGGTGACAGACAAAGAAAAAAACAGTATGCAGGCACTGCCAGACTGTGGTGATATATAAGTCGGGAATACGACCAACGACTACGTCATGGGGACTGCAGAACACAGCACACTTGTTAGATTGATGCAGACATTGACTTGTACCGCAAAGAGACCTCTATCTCACTCATGACTTGTCCTCTCAAGTGGGGGAAAGACAATGCACAACGTTACCCACTGCTGTCAACCTTGGCTAAATCATATCTCTCTGTCCCAGAAACCTCAGTCCCAAATGAGAGGGTTTTTTCTGTTGCAGGGGACATTGTAAATGCCCAGAGATCCCAGCTTTTACCAGATTATAGTTATATGATCATTTTCCTTAAAAACCCCATCTCTATCTAAGTGAGTGAGTGATTAAATGTTGAATGTGATGAGTTTTCAACAATACTAAATTGAAACTTTATTTTTTTTATATGGTTTTAAAGTTTTTTGTTATTAAAATTTAAAAATTTAAGTTCCTGTTTCAAAACTTACAGATAGATGGCTAATTTGTATGTCATTGATATGTTCAGTGCTAAGGTAAATAAACACTTTTCGCACTTTTTTCGAGTCTTTTCATTAGTTTTGTTTTCCTGTAAATTATTCAATAAATACCGTACCGTCCCATTCATACCGAGGTAATACCGTACCGTGATATTCTGATACCGTTACATCCTTACTATTTAATAATGTTTAGCCTATTTCAGATGTGTAACAGCATCTAAATAGTGATTATATTATATAAAAAGGTATTTTTCCACCTGGTGTTAAATGTTAGCAACATCTTAATAGAATTGATTTGGATCTACAATGTTATCCTCAATCTTCCGAACTCTGTTTGTCATCCTCATTTGCCGCAACTAGCCCTACTTCACCAGTATTCTCCGACCACATGGCTCCGTGTGAAGAACATTTAATAGAGAAATAGGAGAGGAGGCATCTTTATTGAGGCATGTTACATACACACCTTCTTTAAACAGACCCATGATCAGGAGAATGAGGGTATAGAAGAAGACGTTATGGTAACGTTAGATGAGTAAGCTAGCATTAACTAGGCAGCGGAGGCTAATGGCAGTGCAGCGTGGACATGATTCATCCAACACAATCTCACGGCAGTTCATAATTTTTTGATTTAGTGGCTAATTTGTATGAATTCGTACGATCTAATTCGTACAATTTAGTATGATTTGCTCATCACCAAATGATGGCTGGGTTTAGGGGTGGGGTTAGGAGCCACGCCTCCTTTTTAAAATCGTACAATTTCATACGACTGAACTTGTATGAATTCGTACGAATCAGCCACTAAACTGGCAAAACGTAAAACACTTACGTTCTCTCGTGAGATCAGGCTGGATTCATCATGTCAGAGAGACAGACAGAAAAAGGAAAGAGAGGGGGAGTGAGAGAGAGAGAAAGGCCCTGAAGAAGAGAGAGACCGCAGAGGAGAAGAGGTGTAGCTTGTGTGATTTCGGATACTTTTAGGTTTTTAATCAAGTTCTATGCTGTTTGCCAACTCTTCATCACGA